AGTTTACAAACTTTAAAACGACGTTGTTGTAAATTTAAATTTGGTATAATTTCTAAATTTCTGGTTTATTTTTTATTTTTCAATAAAATTTTTATTATCTTGAAGATGCTTTTACCTAGTTTAGGATATTAGAATTTATATTTTGAAAAACCAGTTCCGCCTACAATTGGGCCGTTGTTACCTACTTTTTCGGCCATTTTTGGTTCCCAGACTCTAATGACATAAGTATAAATATACAAAAGGTTGAAGCTTAGAAAATATTTGGAAGTTACTTAACTTATATATGAAAAAATTCTGAATCCGTATAATAATATATTTAACACTGTTTTGATGGTTTCAATAGCAACCAGTTTATGTGCAAATTACATCGTTTTAATTCGAAAAAGTTAATATTGTAGAAGGGTAGGAAAAAACGTAAAACTCATATTCTCTTTCTTTTGAAAATTATGATTATGGCCAGATTTTTTGGCATTTTTGTCCACTGTGCATAAGTATAAGAAACCCGCATTTGACCGGAAGTCAAACTAGGTTTAAAATTGTTTTATTTGCGTTTTGTTATTAATTCCCACACCCATCTTTTTTTCTCTCCCCGTTTATTAGATCTGAACTAAAATTTCCACCCCTCCTATTATTATCTCCCTTCTCCATCCCCATCCTTGAATTAAGCACCCGAGAGTACACGGCCATTTAATTTAAATGTTTTTCGTCAATGTTTCGTTAATGAGTTTTCTTTTATATGCATTTATATAGTTTATAACTTATAAAAAAATAAACCACTTAAAAAAATTTTTCCTTTTTTTTTTTTTTTTTTGTGGTTATTAAGATGCTCCCGGTTTTATCACAGAGCACCGCGGAAGAGCATTTAACTAGGGAGTTAACGCCTCCTTTCTTACCAATGTCGTTTATTGGGCTAAAGCCGACGTCAAACCTCGGACCTCTTGGTCCTGAGCCAGAACTCTAACCACCCCGCCACGGTCACATATATACTAATTAAACAATTGCATTATAAGTTGAGCTGTAAAGTTGTAAAATTGTAAAAACTACTCTGTTAAAGCTGTAGTTGTCAAATAGTTAACTTCAAAATACAGTGGAAAAAATAAAATTAGCCTCAAAATTATTTTTCCAGTAATATTGATAACCATCAGGACCATCTAAATTGAAATTTATTTTATCACTAAAAAGAACTTGATGCCACTCCTCCTGCCAAGACAAGTGTTCTTTTGCAAATTACAATCTAGCTTTTTTATGATGAACAATAAGTTTTGGTTTTTATTTACGCTTTCCAAACCAAGTTTAGATCTTCATAAAAGGTTTGTTGCACATGTTGAACAGTTACAGGTAATTGTAAATCAGCACGAATTCGAGATGCAGTTATATACTGATCAGCTGCAATAGCTTGTTTAATACAAACTTTACGTTTGCTACCACTTCCCTTATAAGCTTCCCTATAATACTTAACGTCCATTTTGAAGTAAATATTATTCACTTTTGGAGATCTTTTAATTTTCTGTACAATTTCCAGATTAGATAAGCCTGTATCTTTGTATGTTTTGATTACAGCTGTTTCTTCATTTGTTAAACTATTACCACATCCCATTTCGTATTCAGGTATCAAAAACCAATCGTTAAAAACTTTATGAGAACTAATTTCACAGTTTTTGTTTAACTTGCAAACAATAAAAAAAATTAGGTCAAAAATGCATATTACTAGATCACAATATACAAATAACCTGAATAATTATTATTGAGGCTAATTTAATTTGTTACCGCTAATATGCATTTTATGCTTTTATCAAGCGTGCAGCAATTCAATTCTGCTATATTATAATCTAAAAAGCTGTTGTTTGTTCGTAACAATAATTAAAAATGTGTAAATACAAAATATGTACCATACAAATTTGTTTACAGAGTTACAAAATATTTGATTAGAACAAGGTGAGGTTAATTCTATTTTCTCCACTTTATACTAAAGAGTATTATTGATTTTCAATAATGTAATATGTAATTTATACGCATAATTACCAACATTTGACATATTTATTCTATCAATATGTCAAATATTGGTCATTATAGGCAAAATAATATTATGCCAACAATAAAACAAGTTTTAACAGTATTTTAAACACGTTTTATATTTTTTCATAATACCCAATCCTATAGCCTTTGTACGGATTGGTGTGATCAGCTAACTGGCGCTAGGATATGGCTAAAAATCAATTTTTGACTGAAAATCGCTTCCAAAAATTGAAAGTGGAAAATTCCAATTTTACGAAGACATTTTTTGATTAAATATAAAAATTAACTTTTATTTTTAGTTAAAACTGAGATCAATGTGATGTAATTATGAAAAAGCAAACTTGATCTTCTTAACGATATCAGACGCATTTAATAAACGTGAGTGAACGTTTTACTCACGCAAAGCCTCTAAACCAATATAAATATATATCAACTTAAAGTTTATAATTTTTTTTGTTTTATGTTTAAACTTAAAATCAATTTT